GACACTGCTCACAGTATCTCCTGTGCAACCATTACATTAAAGGTAGTGATTGCCTTTTGGAATTAAAGATCACTAAATGAGTGCTATTTATGATTTTGCAAATGTCAAGATTCAGTTTGTCCTGGTTTTAGTTTTAGTTATTGTTTCCTGTGTCTGTTTCTGAAAAATATCCACCACAGACCTGCATCACTTTCAGATACACTTCCTGACTCTTTGGTTACAAAGGGTAGCTACTTGCATTCAGATAAACAAGGAGAAATTGGGGCATGTTGGATCAGTTTCTACTGTTCTTAACAAAGATATAATGTATGTTTAACATGACATGCAATACCCCAGGTGTATTAAAAAAGCCAGCTGTGACCGGAGCGTGAACCTGAAACTAATCACACAGACTTTATTAATAAATTGTGTGTGTGTGTGCGCACGTGTGTGTGTGAGAGAGAGAGAGATGTGAGAGCTGCTACACAATACTGCCAAAAGTATTCTTTCACCTATCCAAATCATTTAATTCAGGTCTTCCAATGTACAGGTGTATAAAATCAAGCACCTAGGCTTGTTAGGCATGTAAAATCACAGAGCATCACAGAGCATCACAGGGTTAGTGGATGCTGATCTGCATAGTGCCACGGAATCATACCTTCAAACAAGAGCTAGACATCTTGTCTAGTGTAGTCCAGGAATCATGTTTCCAGGGTTTAAAAATTTGGGGTCAAGTGCTGTAAACAAAAGCAGTGCAGGTGGTGTGTCCAGAGGCTATATATAGGCTATATAAAAGAAAAAGGATAAAAACAACAAGATTCTTACATCAACTTTTATTTTAACTATTTCTCTTTAATCATCCACAGATCTGGTCAGGTTTGCTTTGACAACATGTGCACCCCTTTGTCCTCTCAGACCTGCTACAAAGGTTTGAGGTTTAGGCACTTGGCTTGCACCATCTCTCTTGCTTTGACAGGCAGCATTCTTAGGAAGCCAGGTCTGAGTGACATTTTCCCGCCTCATGTGACTCAGGTCAGTCTGTACTGAAATGGTAACTCTGGTCTGAAGATTGGCCTAGAGATATGAAGCATGGAAATGAAAGGTCAGTAAATAAAGTCATGCATTGAGACACAAACAAAACAGAACCCAACTCTTAAAACCACTGTAATACAGTAAGGTCCAGTTAACTTTGTTAGTTACATCTTGCTAGTACCAGGTTAGAGTTTGCCTTTCGTAACTCCCTCAGTTCTTGTAGCATATACTCAACAAGGTGATGGAAACAATCCTTTTAGGATTTTGGTCCAATAGCATCACATAGCTGCTGCACGTTCATTGGCTTCCACATTAATGATGAAAATCCCGTTCAAAATCCTATCCTATATAATCCACTAGAAAAGTTCTTAAAAGTACTTTGTTGGACTGCGATGGTGACTGTGAAGCCCATTTCAGTACTACAATGACAACTCATTGTCATGTTCATAAAATCCTTTTGAGATGATTTAAGCTTTGTAACAGGATGTGTTAAGCCATCTGGAGGTGGGTACACTGTGGCTATAAAGGGATGGGAAAGGTCAACAATACTACCCAGGCATTTAAAAAATGCTTGGTTGCTACTAATGGACTTCAAAGCATAGATAATATTCCTCATGCCATTATACCACCACCAGGAGCAACCTGGGCTGTTGATCCAAGGCAAGATGGATCAGGGTTTCCAGAACCACAATCTTTACTGTCAGTGTGCTTTCGAACAACGAAAATTGTATGCAA